TCAACATTGCATTTCTCAGGGTAAAAGGGATAGCTAGTTTACCGTCAATGTATAGTAATGCGTCGGATTCATGTAAGTACCGTACAAAAAGGTTGAAATAAGGTTATTTTGCCTTTATCGTCTCTTCTTTGTTTTGAAGTGCCTTTACGATGGGGCACAAAATTGGGTCGTCTTCTCTTAGGAGAGCTACTAATGTAGCAGAATATAACGTATTCAAGTCCAAATGACGATCGGGCAACTTCAAACTTTCTCGGTATTCATTTACAAGTTTTACGTGGTCAGATAACAATAGAAACTCCAGGAAAACTTGAATACCGGAAGTGGACGGAAAAATTACAATTTTACTATTTTCCATAACAACAGTATTTACAATTTTTCTATCTAAATCTGAATTAAGTATGCTACAATTGAGAATTCAACAATATAAAAACGCGGAATTAGAAATAGAAATTATTAAGGAATTAGTGTTTGAAGAATCCGAAAGAATACATTTCGAAGTACAAAATTCAGTTCGGTTATGATTTGATGAGCAAAATGGGAAAACTGAATTAATGAATTTGAGAACTGAAGCTAAAAGGTAATTACGTAATCTTGCGTAATCGGAATTTTCCAGACTTGAACCAATAACAGAGCAGCTCTTTCTTTGATTTTCTAAAGGAATAATTGATTTCTTAATTTTATCTATTTTGGCGACTACAATTTCTTTGTCGTAATGTGACGAGGGTAGGCTTTTTCAGAAGGAATTCTTGAAAATAAATAAGTGAGTCCCATGTCTTTTCCTGCAAGATGTTTAAACGTAAAATTAAACGGTAGTAAGCGATCAACCCATCTTGTTAGTCTGCTGTGGTATGTTTTATTCCCGTGGTTTGTTGATAGGGCGGAAAGTAGAGCTTTATGATCTGTAATTACTTCGAAGTCTGATCCATAAAGGTAATTTTTAAGTTCTACGGCCCAGACTGCTCCCAAAATTTCTAATTCATTGGTAGAATATTTGGTTTCATGTGGGTTTAGAAACCGAGAAGCAAACGAATTCCTTTTCCAGTCATTCCCATGGAGTTGTTCTAGGGAGGCTCCTTAACCGTTATGTGATGCGTCCGTGTTTTTTCTGGTTATTCGTTTTACTTCGAAATGCGTATATTCTGTAAGATTGTTTGTCTACTTTTTGATTTTCTCAAAAATTTTTGTTTGATTGAAATTCCAATAGAAAATAGAATTCTTATTAGACAAAGGACGTAACGGGCCTCCCAAGGATGCTAGATTGGGCAAAAAATTAATGTATTGGTTTATAGACCCGAAGAATGATCGTAGTTCCTTCAATTTTTTTGAGATGGGTAAGTCCTTTATTGCTTTCGTTTTGTCGAATAAGGGACAAATTCCAGTATTTGAGATTAAAAATCCCAGCCAATCGAGTTCTTTTTGAAAGATTTTGCATTTCGACCGTTTAGCGGCAAACTTATAATCGTCTAAAAGCGATAATACTTTGGAAACAAGGTTTTTGGGGTCTACGAAGCTTCCCTTGGATGCAAATAAAAAGTGATCTAAATAACAGTTTGTAAAAGGGATCGTACCTAGCGTTGAGTCCATGACTCTTTGAAATTCCTTAAGCATATCGCCTAATCCATAAAAGCCAGTTAAAAACTGATAAGTACCCGTAATATCGCCGCCCACTATACTAAAGTTACACTGGTTACTAGTAAATTTGTCTAAGGCAAGTTGGCTATATGCATTTTTCAAATCCAAATTAGTAAACCAAACTTCTCCAACGGTATCATTTGTGCCGCTACGTTATCTACAAGTTCGCGAATATTCGGCATTTGGTATTTATTTTTGTATATCTGATTGTTAAAAAACTTTGAATCTAGAGCCAACTTGATGGATTTGTCTTTTTTACAAGTATTGACAATTGGGTTGATAAAACGGTCTTCATCGCATTTTTCCAACTTCTTAATGTGTCCCTCGTTTTTCAGTCGATTAAGTTCGTTTCAATTGAATCAAAAAAGTGGAGAGAGACGCGTCTGCCTTTTGATTGTACGGGATTTAGCGGCTCGTGAAAATGAGTGATTTTCATGTGACGTTTTTTTTCCAATCCGAAGGAATAAGATTTTTAAAGTCCCAGCGATGTTAGTAATTTAATTTTCTTTTTCTGCGGTGGAAATAAAACTTATTGATTTACACATCTTATTTGTCTGGAAGTGTGAAAAGCACTTCAGTGATTCTTCTATCCCCATTTTGGGCAGGTTGTCATTACCGAGTTTGTTTCTCCAATGCCCTTCTGTCAAAAAAATAGCAGTCGTCGTGTGACCATCCATTTGAAAAGATCGAAAGTATCACTTTTCCAGAGATGTTGATGACATTGTCCGTGAACCAGCAGTATGAGTCCTTGGTTGCTTCAGCCACTGGATAAGTTTTTAGGTATGGATCCCGTAACTTCAATTGGTGAAGAACGTTCTTCTTGAGAAAGCTGACCGGGCTTGAAAAGTCCACTTGTATGTTTAAAAATCCTTAGTTTTCCTTCCCGAGGTCAGTATTTAATAGCTTCTTAAGTTCTTTTCCATCATCGTCGAAAATTGTAGTTACATTTAATACAGAATAATCGTCATTTTCGCTCTGTCCAGTTTCTGACCATGCGTTAATCAAACCAAAACATTCTCTATTTATATGGTCCATATTTACATCCGGATGATCCGACGGATTAAAATCTGCATTATTTACAATTTGAGTATTTACAATGTTTACATTTTAACGAAGAGATTTACAGAGTCTCGTGAAGTGGCCTTTAGATAACAGGATGTACAAGTATGTGTCCTTCGCTGGACAAACAGCCAGATGTCCTTTTGAAAAGTTCCCGCCACATTTGATACAGGTATTGCTCCGTTCAATGTTCAGGGTAGGTTCTCTTTTGACGTTAAATCGATTGTAGGGTTTGTGTACGGATGATCCGTTGGATTTAAAATTATTTGTTAATTTTAAATGGTTTGAAATTCCCCTTTCATCAATTAGGGCGACGTTGAGCGCTTCCCACGGTGGTAAAGTTTCAGTCAGGAGTTTTCGTTGTATATCTGAATTTTTCATGTTATTTATGAAGATTTCCCTTATCCATTCGTTCTCTCCGGCGGTTATGTCACACTTTTTAGCAATTTCGAATAAAGCTCCCCAAAATTGTTTAAGTGACTCACTGTCTCGCTGTTTCCTATTTAACAACTTGTGCCTTTCGAATGTGACGTTCGTTTTCCTGACAAAAGCGGTTGCTAAGTCTCCCCAAAACTCTTTGTAAACTTTTGTCCGAAGATTCGCTTTTCCTCATTTCCTAGGGCTATGTACAGGTTAGAACGTACTTTCTTGTCGACCTCCTTTGTTACCATTCCCCTAAAATTCTTAGATTCTGATTTAATAGGTGCCGTTTCCTCATCGTCCTACCGTTTTTCGTCCTGGATGTTTCTTTTTATCCTAGCTTTTTTTTGGTTTTCCGATTCGCTTTCCGTCGGATTTTCCAGAGTTGGTGGATGTGGATGATGCCTTTCTGAAGGATTCAGTAGATTTTCGATGTCTACATTTTCTTTCGCGATGATTGCCAAGTGGAAGAGATCACCCCAATCTTCCCAAGGTATAAGTGGGTCTACCGTATGGTTCTGCCAAAATGGAGGTATTCCTCTCACGTTAGATTCGTTATTTGACTGCGTCATGATAAAATGTTACTTTGTTGCAGCTAGTTCTACTTTATACAATTAAAAGAATAAAAGTGAATTAATCTGAAGTAAAAGCATTAAAAAGTGAAGAGAGCATTCTCTCCAGCAGAGAAAATGAAAGAGAGAAGGTCATATCTAAGTGACCAGTTAGAATGGTTACGTAATCGTTAGCTAAGTTGGAGTATATAAAGTGGAACCACATCAGGGGTCCGTCACTAAAAATGGATATCTCAAAATAGTACAAGGGGAGACCCTTTGGGTCGGCAGAGGGTCGATTCCCTGAGGGGTGGGGGGGGGGTGTCTGCCGCCTTGGACACAACCTTGTCAACGTTTATTATGAAAAATATATTGCATATGCTTCATTTTCAACGAAACGCAATTCTTTCCAAATAATCAACACATTCCTAGTCCCACAAGAGATTAACTGCCTAAGCGATTTTCAATATGACAGTCGAAATTACTCATAAACTAACATTTTAATAAGATTACTTGTGAAATATATCGACACATGGATCTCCTAAGCCAACCACTTTGTTAAGATAATTTATCCACGAGCGAAAGGACCATAACATACGAGCTGTACAGCTCATGGCTCTTTTTCCTTTTCCCCCACCTGCAAATTTTTACATGTAAATTTGTTGACCACATTGTTCGATTGTTATGAAAATTTACGTACAGACTAATAAGGCCATGACAAACATATTTGGTCTTCATACTCAACCTCGTAAAATCACTCGTTACACTAATATATTGAAGCTCGGGTGAGGTGGGGGGGGGGGGGAAGGAAAAAGAGCCCAGCTCATCACGGCGAACCGCTGTTGTGCCCCTCTTTAAGAATTATATACAATTTTTCTATTTTTCTGGGCTGGGTAAGGTTGCCTAACCCTCAAGCATCGAACACAGATCAGGTTGCTATCATTTTATTGACTCCTGTTATAATTCATTTTTTTGCAGAAAATTTTATTATGGAAGGAAACCTTTGTACAACCCCACAGACGAAAGACAATGTCGACACAGTCTCCTCCAACAACCTCATATGTTTATCTGCCTCGTCTCGAACTCGCTGTTTGACTATTTGAGCACTGTGAGTTTCGTTTATACTATGGCTTCTCGCCTACTACCTTTGAATATGATAGTTCTTACTAACTAATCATGTTTTATTACTATTAATTGAAAATTTTTGTTGAAGCCTGACTGTTTGCAGTCAGACCACTACTAGAAACAATAGCATGAAATTGATCTCAAACACTAAATTATTTAAACACGATCAAATTGAATTTTGCTAAGTTTAAATTTTCAAATTGAAATGTATTTGTTTTTTTTCATATGTGTAACCGAATCTAACAGAAAAAGCAAAGATATGACAACGTATGAAGAAGAAAAAACTTGGATAGTCCTACGCGCCAAATTGGCTGCACTATTTTTTCAAAAATAAACGCAACAAGAAAGAATAAAAATGACTTCGACAATTCATCAAGGGAAGGGTTTTAGCATTGAAATGAGTTTTTAAACATCAATTTTCGTCCCGTTTAGTTCTTGAGTGTCGCATTATTGATTCCATATTTGGACACTGAAGACTTGGAAAGAATCATGAGGTGCCAGAAACGTCCGATGTACTTCTCAAAAATCTCCTTCCCACCAAGAATGTCTGTCAGTGTTTCCTGCAAAAAAGAGCAATAATGAACATAACAAACAAACAATAATACAAATTAATAACTTGTTACTTATAGCTCTAAACTTTTAAGCTCATCATAATTTACAACAAAAACAGTAAGCATTGAACTGTTTGTATTCAGAATAAACTAAATTAAAAATCAACCAAACATCATTGGATGAAAAAAATTCTCAACTTAACATATTTTCAACCGCATCCAAAAAAAGAACACTATAAAGTTTAAGAACAAAATAAGATTTCTAGAAAAATTACTGATTATGATAATAAAAAATGAAGACAAAACGTTTTGTCAAATTTAAGTTTAACAAAGTTCATCGTCGTCATTATCGTCATCATCAATAAAAATGATTAAGAAGATAATAATATTGAAAAAAAGTGCACTACTTACCTCTGTGCTTTCCTCATTGTCGGTTGGATTTGAATTCAATAATATCTGCATGCATACTTTAATCTTTTCTTCATCGAACACATTTTCCAATTCCCTCTCAATAACTGCCACTCTGTCTTTCGGCTTCGCACTCATAGTGATCGTCTGCATCATTTCAGGCTCAAGAGTATTTGCTGAAAACAACTCGAAAAAACGTCAACTATCAATCAAGCACCCCTTGTCCCTTTAGTGACCAATGAAGTGGCCCATCCCCCTAAAAGCGGCATAACTTTCTAAAAAGCGTTTTCAAAATGAGTTGTTGGAAGACAGATGATTTAAAATTAGCAGGCGATCACTTGATGGGAGAACACTGGATTTTTAAAATCATTGCCGAGACAAAAATTATGGCGATAGAAAATAAAATCAATTCAACATTTTTCCTTTTGTTTGGACGTTCTTGAGTTCAAGGGAAACGTTTACCCAAATTTTGGGCTCTATTTTTTGCTTTAAACTTGGCGAGATTGTTCAATTTATCTTACAATTGAAACTGTTATGCGTAAAAAATAATATTCATGAAAATTAGCCAAGAAACTCCGAAAACCAAAATAAAAGTCACTCGCAACAATTTCTATCCTATTATCAAACAAATTTCTCGTGAACGGTCGAAAAAGTTCCAAATAATTGTGATATGCTCAAATTTTCATTGGCATATTCAAAATTTGAATTTCATTTTCGAAGAACTGAAAACTTGACGATGGTCCAGAAACTTCAACTCGCAGATGTACCTACTACAGTCATAATTTCATTTAGACGCGTCAAATCGGTTTTCAACAGTGATAATTGGCGTAAACTATACCATAGCAATTTGTTTCTTGAAAAAAAGAAGCTTGCCGTTTTTTATATCTTACCTGATATGTTGACTTGTTGATCATGGTTGTTTACAAGTTCGGGGAACTCATTGTCAAGTTGTTGCTGGTTGAGAGTTTCACTCAAAACATTCACAAATTCCTCCAGTTCACTGAAACGAACAATAAATTTAAGTTGCTTATAGTGCAACTTACATAATTATGACATCATAAGAAAAAATACATCCAAAAAACAAGAATGCTTAAAATAAGCAATGTTTAAAAAAAAGAGGCAAAAAATTGTGACCTTAAACTTCACTACAAAAACATGAACCAGTTTTAACACGAAAAACCGAACATAATGCAAACAGCGGATCTAAAGAAAAGCGCAAAAGTGTTTGATAGATCATATGCCGTTTGCGGAAAAAATACAAATTACATTACCCTGCAAAAAATTTGAACTAGAACTTTTGAACCCGTTTTTCTCGACATAAGCAAAAAGTTTTGGAAAGCTTTAAATAGCGTTTAAATATCACTAGACCCCTTTTGAACCATACACCTGTTTTTTTTTTTGCGGCCTAAAAAAACTGTTTAGTCTCTTCCGACTATAAAAAGCAAAAAAATATATTAATTTTCTTTTCAATCAACTTCAATTTTTGTAACGTGAATGTTCAGAAGACATAGGAACTGAGAAGTACAAACAACGATCATTTAGAAACAAGGCAACGAAAAAAATTGAAGAAAAAAATCGAATTTGATTTAAAAAGGTCACTTACACGTTTGCTTCGTGGCTAACATCACTTGAAACTGATTCTTTTCTCTCAACCGGCAGCTTCTCGGCCCATCTCGGAGACCCAGAAGGCGGACTCTCGACTTGACTCGGGGAAGAGTTCTGTACACAATTGTCCGATATCACTGGCCGTTGAACTATAGTCTGATCTAGTTCGCTGTTTGGACAAGTCGAGTCTGTTTCGTCGTCATCGGGAGAATGATTTCGGCTGACTTCTTTGTTGCCGTTTGAATTGCTACTATAAGGCTTCAACACTTCTTCCTGTGAAAAAAGTTTCAAATCAGTATTCCTTTTTTCTTCGTTGTTTTCGAAAATTTGATCATTAAAAATAAGGCAACATACAATGTTCAAAAATTCAAGAAGCAATTTTAGGGAGAAAAAACGACCTCAGAGTCTCAAAATCTTGCATACTTTTTTATGGTAAAAATGACCCGATTTGGGAGAACAGATAGTTTTTATTTTCTGCACCAGCGGATTTAGGGGGGGGGGGGGAAGACGCCTCCACCTCAGGGACTCGACCCCCTGCCGACCCAAAGGGTCCCCACGTAGTACTATTTTGATATATCAATTTTTGGTGACGCACACTAAAAACTTTCAAAAGGCGCCTTTGACGCCAATGTATACTAATTTTGAGGGGGGAGTGCGCTCCGGAAAAACGCGATTCAAAAATTTGTCTCCGGCGCAAAAAAAAATTGGTCAAAATGGGTCTTTTTAGTGATTTGGGAGAGCTCAGAAAACACATTTGGTCGACCTAAAACAAAGCCGACAAAATTTTCGATTTTTTAAAGAAAATCCGCCCCCTCGAGAAAATCCTGGATCCGCCCCTGTTTTACTGATAGTTTTTTAATAAAAAGAATAACGCCAGAAACATTTGAGCGCAAACAAAGGCTAATTTGAATATGCTTTTGCAACAAGGAAACTTTGAATATACATGATGCATCGACTTTCTCATTTCTGTAAAATCCCGAAGAAAAAATTGTGCAAAAAGTGTTTACATGAGGAAAAATGACCTCGTAGGCAGCTACTCTTAAATGCACACCCCAATTTTTGCACAAATTATAAAAAGGTATTTAAACACTAGATCTATCTTAACTAAAAGCGTTGCTTACACCCTGTTGGTGAGAGATGATTATCTTGGATCAAAAGCAGCCGAGGCAACAGACGGATAATGAAAATGTCAGAGAAGCGTATCAACTGAGAAAAAATAACAATGACAAAAAACTTATTTTCTAAACTAGTTGCACACAGCAAATTCATCGCTTAAGAGCCCTCTGAAAAACATTTAAAAATTTTATTGCATTTTTTTGATAAACCTGTTTTCCGAAAAACACGACTTATTCGAGTATAATCTCACTTCGGTCATCATCACTTAGGAAGAAAGGCCAAATAGTGCAACGCTTTCTGGGCGAAGAGGGTAAAATATCTGCTTAGTTAATTGCAAAGATAGTAAATATTATCCATCACTTATATTCGCACTCGCCATAACTTCGTCCCTAAAAAAAAGCAAAATGTCTTTTCATGACTCTCAGAAGTATAAAAAGAAACTTTTCGAAGCAGCTCGAAAAATTATTTTAAAAAAGGCTGCAATGTGATATATCAGTCGACTAAAAACTATCTTTATTTTTTGAGAAAAAAGCACGAATCCCAAGATTTTCGTCACGTACAGAGTTCAAAATATTAGATTTCTCTCAGATTTTACAAAAAAAATTAAAATTGTCGATTTGAATGTTTGAAACTTAGCTAAAAAACAGTTGGAAAAATGATAAACGAAACTGATAAACAAAGTGATTAATTTTTTTGGTTGAAGTTTTTATTTCTTAAACTATAAAAAATTCAAGGCCTCAAAACCTGGATATATCATATACTTCCATTAATGAGGTCTATTAAAAAATGCGAATCATTTAATTTCCATTTATTCAAACTGTATAAAGAGCATTTTTTCAAACAAACAAAAATTGCCAAATCCTTCAAACTCGTTTTTCACTATTTTTTTGAAAAAATCATTGTCTTTTTTTCTTGAATAAAAGACCTTTTAATTTGCAAAACTGATGAAAATGAAAACTTCCAGTTTAAACTGTATAATAGCCTTTTTTTATATAAAAAATTCAAAATTGAAGAAAGTTTTCCGAAATTTCATCATAGTCGGTAAACCAGTTTTATAAACAATTAAACATTTCTCTAAACAAAATTGTTTTTGAATGCAAAAAATTCAATTTTTTGCCTATAACAAAGACTAGATCCTCTCTTTTTTACAAAGAAGAATCAAAAATCACAATGAAGGTTTTCTGAGTCAGAATTTTTTTTTCAATTTTGGATAATAACAACATCTAAACCTAAATATGTCCAAAAACAGGCCACAATTTTCACCACTGAATCTTCGAAATCGAGGCTTTGTTTCGATATACAAAAAGTAATACAACTTTTTCTTATAACATTGTATAATTCAATAGCTTAACTAAGTTGGCATATCTCAATGCTTAGTTTAGTCTGCAATTTTGATGCCGTTTAACCTGGTTTTCTAATCTGGAGTGTGACAAAAATGCAAATCAATCAATTCCTTATAGAAAAATGCTTGCAATACGATTCCATTAATTGAAAAAAATGCTAGTCATGCTAATTTCATACATTTTTTTTCTATGCAATCAAATGAATTTGTATGCTAAGCATTTTTCCATAAAAAAATTGTATGACTAGCACTTTTTGTCAACCCGAGAACTCACTGAATTTCAAGAATTAATTTTATTTGACACTTTTAAGAGAGAACTAACCAAAAAACAAACTAGATTAATTGTAAATTATCACTTCCTATCGGAAATCTTAAAATTACTGTCTTTTTTCGAAGTTAGAATTCATTCACGGTCTTTGCTTCATTTGAACTTTTGTAATTGGAGAACTCATTTTTCTTCAATTTAACAAAAGGATTTTAAAAAATCACAAAGTGAAAACCGCTAAAATCAAGTTTGAGCGTAAAAAAGTTTTCCAAAAAAAAACAAAAAAAAACAACACGACCTAAAAAAAGCGTCCTCAATTCGCACATTGTCGCTTGAAAACATCTTAGACAGTATAAATAGACGGTTATAATAAAATTGACATGAAAGAAATTGAGCAAATTAAGATAGACTTTGTTTTTATTGTTACTAACCTGCTCCGTAATTTCTTCGGGTACTTTCTCTTTTATTTTGTCTGAAAACAAGAAGCAAAATCAATTAAAGTACGCACTAATACAATTTTGATGTTGGCCGAGCCAATAATAAGATGCAAAAAAATCAGAAAAGATTTGAGCTGAGTTGCTCACTTTTCTTTAAACAACATCTGTCAATAAAACGCAAACAAACATCTCAAAAAGCTTTAAAAAAATTGCTGGTCTAATTTTGAAGAAAAATAAACTGAAAAATCTAGCTTCACCTTTCACTAATTTCTCGGCGTACTCTTGTTCTTTCTTTCTCAACCTTTCTTCACGCGCTTTGGAACGACGCTGAAATAAATCAATTGAAATAAGTTAGGAAAAGTTATGAAATTGGTTAATCTAACGGTTGAAAACAAAAAGCAGTCCGCTCTGTTTCATGACTTAAGCATTTGAAAATTATAATCAATTATTTCGAGTTCACTTTGTGTTTGATTAGTTATAGCTCAATAAAACAAGAACAATAGTTGATATTTAGAATTATCAAGCAGATTGTAATTTGATTGCTAATCATTATATGAACAATCAAATATTTGACTTTCGAAAATGAGAAGGCCTGATTTTAACCTTTGAGAGGGATTGATCAAGTTATGGTTAGTTTCACACAGATAATTAACGATTTTATATTAACAGGCAAAAATGGTCAATTGACTGTGAGAAAATTATCATAACTTTCGAATGATAGAACTTTTTCTTCACGTGGATTGCACGCAAACTGACGTGCTCAAAGGCTAAAATTACACCATTACACACCGAGGCGAAGCTGCGCTTCGCAAACACTAGCGAGAACATGACAAAAAAGCAGCTCTATTAATTGAAATTAGAAAAAATGAAATAAGCCTCAAATTAGCGAAAACTACGTGTCTGATTCGCTCTGTGGCCTAGCAATTTTGAGTCTCACGCACTAAAAACTCAGCCACGAACGCTTAGAACTCCCAGAAATAGCCACCAAAAACGCAGCTACATATGCTAATAAATGGCCAATCGATCTAGCAAAAGTGGCACCAAATAAAAAAAAACACAATTTTGAATGTAATAAATTCGAAAGCATAAAGCCAAATTATGCATAAACTATGCATTTCAAAAATTTTCTGGATACATTGATCCTTTCTATCATTGCACTGCTGTTTGAAACAAATAACATTCAGTCGGCTCATTTGATGAACTAAAAATGCATGATACAGCTGCAGCAGCCTACCAATTCAAAAGTGCCACCAGAAGTAGCACTTTTATTTGCGTCTTAAATTGGAAAAAATGAAGGTTCGTACAAATACACTTGGCTTCACAAGCTCGCAAAGTGTAATTATGATTCATCAACAAAAAATCATTTCAATAATTTGTTTTAATAATTCTTAACATTCATCAACTAAACTTTTGTCCACATTCGACTGCCGATCAATACTTTTTTTGCAGGTGACCTTAATTTGTATTTTATCTCTAAATATATAATTTTTTGGAATTACAAACATACTTACCACTTCTGAATCTGATCCTACTGAAGAAACTGAAGCTACAGAGGAAGCACTGCTTTTCCTAGAACAACAACAACAACAATGGTTGAATTCCAGAAGCATTCATTGCAGTGCTTTGTTCATGTTATACAATAAACGCCCACAATTTTTTGTACGCGTTACAAAATATACGAAAAACCCTTAAACGATATCAAATTAAATATGAGCCTTATAACGATAAAATACACAGTTATACACGGGGTTGATTGAATGGGACAGATCAGGAGCAACAAAAAGTTTTTCTGAGCGCAATCAAACAGCAAAAATAATCTAAAAAGCCTTGACATTTTGCAGTAACTTCTTAAAACACTTTGACTAGCCTGATATGAGACGGAGTGGCTGCACTTTTGACGGGTTCAGATACTTTCCTCACGCTTTGGGGTCGCCCGGACACAGGTCGCTGAAAAGAGAAACTTATTTAAATACATTGAGTTGAAAATGACGATTATGTTTCATTACGAGGTCAAACTATGCACTCGACAGGCGCACAAAACTGTGTCTGCATGCTCCTGGCTTCCAGAGGCAAAACTTTGAACATGATAAAGTTTTGTATGAATGATCAAAGAGAATGAAAGAACAAAAAAGCAAAGGGAGCGTCCTTGTTGCGGAACCTGCTTACAATTCACAAAATGCACAATTTGGCTTCGTAATGTTTAATCTGAATTTTTTTCGATTATTTTATTTGTTATCATTGAATTGAAAAAGACGAATATGTTTTAAATCTGAATGCTTCTTTTTACTGTTGAATTAATTGTATACATTGAATTGAAAAAGACGAATGTATACTAAATCTGAAATGTTCTCTTTTTGTTGAATACTTTGTATACATTGAGTTGAAAATAAAGGATCTATTTAAATCAGATATTCTTCTGATTATGTTGAGTTTGGGCCAAAAAATTCTAAATGCATGCATGTACATCTTCTAAAAACGAAACTCCAGTTCTATTCTTTTTCAAAGATGAGGTGGAAAAAGTTTCCACTTAGAAGCCTGAAACACTAATAGAAAAAACTATTCTCGCAGCAATGACTTCCAATTATCGCTCCCCTTGTGTAAATATAAACATGGCCGACAGACTGTTGTGCCAATGAACGAAAGAAGTCTTCAAAAAATGACTGACAATTATGAAAAAATTTTAATTTTGGAGTTCCAAAAACGCATGGCCCAAAAGATATTTCAATTTTCAGAATCTAATATGGCTGACTTTTTTTGATATAATTAAGTCAAAGTCACAAAATTGGATCAAAAATCAAAAATCTTATTTCACTGTGAATTCTAGAAAAATACAAGTCATTTACAAACTAGAAGTCATTCATGATTTTTTGCGCCTTTTCCACTTCAATTGTTAGATAGTAGTATGATCTACCTTCCTTGCGCCAGTAAAAGAGTTTGAACTGAACTGAAAAAAAAATCACGATCTACAAAAGTGTCTTCAAACTTTGATAAGCAATTTTGATTTACTAGTGAAAAAAACTAGAATGAAAAATACTGGATCTACTGAACAATCTCTCCCTTTTCAAATCAGATTGAAGCAAAATTAAAATTCTAATACAAAGCTCAAGTGCTTATTTACTGTATTCATTGATAGTGGTGGAGATTCTTTACTAGATGCCGGAGGCGCGGGAGGGGGGGGGGGCAGATTGCCAAACAGATCCAGAATACCTTTTCCTATTTGTCACCACGAAAACGGCATAAAAACCAGATTGCTTTTCTCGCTCATAAGCAAATGCGGAAACAACTAAAAAAAAAGATACGGATGATTTAAGAAAAAAAAATTTAGTAAGTCTTTTGCGTGTTTGACTGATTACGAGGCAATACAGGCTCCACTGTTGCTATAAGGAATACTCAATTGCTTTTTAACAAAACGACACTTGCTCACCCGGGTTGACCTCCATACGCCGAAAATTCTTATCATACAATTCATACAACAAAAATCATTATCATACAAATCCATACATCAAGTGTATGGAGAAAATTCTTGTCATACAATTTTCATACATTTTCGAAAAACAATAGAAAAAAAATTAAACCGTTTCTGCGGCTTTTTGAGAACAGTTGACCAGAATGGTGACAAAAAAACTGATTTAAAATTTTTTGATGGCGAAGTAATTTTGAAAATTTACCCCAAAAATTTTTTTGTTTTTTTTAAACCGCAAATCGAATTTTGTACGCAAACAAACATTTTTCGAAAAAAACTTTTTGTATGCAAATTTCGATTTTTTGTGTGAACAACGTAGTCCTGGATACGATATTATATTGGCTTTTCTTCTTTTCACTTGAATTTTTTTTTCAAAAACGCTGAAAATTCCTATTTCTTTTGTATGCCGTGTTTATGTATGCCTTGATCAATGTCTGATAATTTGAAAATACAAAAATTTAAAATAATCATCACTGAAGAATTTTGCCAAAAATCAAAAGTTTGTTACTTTTGTTATATCATTTGTGAAAGAAATCTGGAATATCATTTGTGAAAGAAGTCGTGTTTTATGCATTGTAAATGTAAGACCGTCCAACCTTTGGTGCTTTGAGTAACCAAGGTCTTTGTCACTTGTGTTCGGTTGCAAACGCAAACCAAAATTTTTCAGAAAATAAATTTAAAAACAAAAAACAACTTTTTGGTTTATGGAGAAAACCTCTATTATACAATTTCCAATTAGGGGAAAATGTTTATTATAGAGTTTTCATACAATTTTCTGTACGTATGGAATTGTATGAAAAGAAATTTCCCATCTATGAGAATTGTATGATAAACATTTTTGGTCAACCCGGGCAATTAGCGGCACTAAAAAAATGAGAGGCAAAACTTGGTTTTCGGCAAATAAAATGACAGTATTTCAAACGACAACCGTTTTTACGTGACTTTAAGACTTAACAACATATCTTTCTCCGACTGTATTGCTGAGAAATATAAACCACTATAATACGTATATAAAACAAGCAGCATTAAATGCTCTTTAATGTAGCAGATATAGCTCATGCTATGTAAATTGCTGAATAGAAAGAAAACTGTACGCAGAAAATTACCAAAAATTGAAGAAAATAATCGTAATATTACAAATGCTCTATCTTTGAACCTTCATTAAGAGATTTTTTTTGAAAAAAAATATAGATGTGTTCTCCATACGCTTGAATAAAACATGCACAATAGTTTACATGACAGAAATCAAACCAAATGATTTGCAAAACATTCCGAATAAAACTCAAGATAAACATGCCGACAGATATGCTTCTACTTACGTTATCAGCTGCTAAATTCTGAAAAAAAATAAAGCCATTGATTTATAATGATTACAATGAACCCTTACATTTGATTTAGGTTTACTCGAGGATGGTCGTGGTAATTGCTCTTGCAATAGAGTAGGTGTAGGTGGCAATGACCCCCCTAATGAGTTCTTTTTGGGGGTGTTGTTTTTCGGAGATGGGATACTTGATGATTCATGAGATGATCTTCGGGCTCTGGGGGAACTCACGTTTGATCGTCTTTCTGACTCAGTACGTTTGGCTTTGGAAGGCAAAACCTAAAAATTATTTTCAATGCTGTGTTTTTTGCTGGTTAAATATTTCTTTATTAATATCTGTGTACTAAAAAACAAAGGGCGCCCCCTGCTTGTACTTAAAAAAAACAAAAAGAATATCTGTTTACGAACTAAAGTATCCAGATTAAATTTATTTTGAATAGCCTGATGCCTTTTTTTATATTAATTGGATATTAAGAAAAAGTTGAAAAAAAACTTCCGAGGCGGAAGAAATGGGAAAAGTAAATTAAAGATCTCACCATTATTAATTGAATATACTTTTAAAAATAGATCTATAAGTCAGATATTTTGCTCATGTCATTATTTCAAAACTCTATAACTTTCGTCGCTTACTATAGCTTTTTAAATTTTCGTCACATATTTTAGATTTACAAACTAAAATTGTTCTCACATTCGACTTGACTGGCGATTTGTTCAGACTAGAACTACTTCCGCTGTTGCTTTTTCCCTGCTGACTAACCACATTGTTCACTTTCTTTATTGTGGGAATATTGTCTTGATCAAAGTTATTCACATTTTCAGGTGTTGAATTGATGGCTGGCAATTTGCTGTTGTCGCTGCTTTCGCTATTTTTGCGACCTACCGATGAATATTTTTTGACCACTTTCTGTTTTGAAGAAGAAGGCCTGCCCTTGACACTGGAACTAAAAAAAAGTAGGAATTGTTAGAACAAACCAAGTTGTAATTGATCGGAGCGAATCTGATTTTTGACTACAAAAGTAGTATCAAACAATTTCTTGTCAATCAATTCTAGATTAAGACCATTTATCCACGGTGGAAAGGACCAACCCAAGAGCTGTACAGCTAACTCATCACGGCAATCTGCTGTTGTGCCCCTGTTTAAAAACTACATGCAATTTTTTTTGGTTATTTTTCGAACATCTGAACATCCGACCTTTCGATTGAGAGGCGGAGACGTAACTAACCACTAAATATTTTGAACGCTTTACCAAATATAAACTCAGTTTTTCAATACAAGCCGTCGGCGAGTTATTCCAAACAGCTGGAAAGTAGCTGTTTGGTTCTTGATCTCTCAAATAATCCGTAAAAATTGACATTTCCACGACGGTAAATTACTTTAAAAAACTGGTGCACAAAAAAACTGAATGACAATTATAGATTCTGTTAAAGTCATGACTAGTGCAATGATTTTTCATTTTAACAAGTTTCATCATGACTAGAGCCCTATTTTTTCACAAAATTCTTTTTCTAATTTAAAATACCTGCTGGGTCGTTTCTGTTTGGATTGTGATTCCTCCAAAAACTTCTTGATATTTTCCTGTACAAACGGTGTCTGCAGGATGTCCCTGGCACTTGGTCTGGCTTCTATTTCTCTGTTCAGCATCCGGGAGATCAAGTCACACACACCTTTACTGTAGCCAGTCGGCATTTTTGGAGGCTGCAAAAAAGTTTTCGATCTTGAAAGTTAACATGGCTTGTAAAATTGTTTTCAAGCTATGCGCAATACAAAAGATATATTACAATTTAGCCAACTGGCAGTTGGAAAAGAAAAAAAACGCGGGGAAACAAAAAAAAAACACTGACGTTTTGGGAAAAATCTCAACGTTCGAATTTCACAGAAAACGAGAGACACCCTTTAAGCTTTTGAATTTGTAGAACAATTTATAATTGGCGCTTCTTTGCTAACAAAAAATGCCCTTAAGCCCTTTGGAGGCACAAACGGTATAAAGAACACTTATGATTGACACTTACTTGTTCAATGAATTTAACCCAACCTGAGAAATTTGAATTGAAGGTAAAATTTTTAAACCGCATGGAAATCTGAAAACTATAAAGCACTGTCGCAACTAGAAGTCGATTACGTTTTTTGTGACCTTTAGACATTTGCTGTTCGAAAGTAGAATTTGCATTCCTTATGACACAGAAAAAAAAGAAATAACCTGAGAAGAAATCAAAAGCTAAACAGCGATAGGTCTAATTAGAGCGAGAAGAAAATTCAAGAACACCTATGATTGACACTTGTTCAAAAAATTTAACCCAACTTGAGAAATTTGAAATGAAAGGAACTTGAATTGAAAGTCGAGTACGCTTTCTGTGACCTTTAGACCCAGGTATCTATGCAACCACCTGAATCGTCTTCAAACTCCTTTGGTTTCAGGAAGGCATTTCTAGATTCGCCTCCTCCTCTATCGCTCGACTCGTGTTCCTTGTTGCAAATGCTTCTTATGTCCTATTCATCATTTCTCAAGTGTTTGCCCATGTCATGGCATCCGGTGTTACACTCGTGTGTGTGCCCGAATCCCTTGGTATCCTTGTTGAGTTCGACGCGCCTCATTTTATTGCCGTTTTTGTCATCCCTGATCCTATGCTCTTATAGATCTGAGGCAATGGAGTAGATTCCTGTTTCTTGCCATGAGGTTCCACAAAGGCCACCCCTGTGCTGGGTTGCTTCTCCGTTTTGTCTGATACCGTTCTTTTCTTAAGTAATAGAGTGTCTGAAGAGCGCATCCAATTTGGACTGTATTGCACAGGAATTCTCTGCTTGGTCTCTGCTCATCGTGTCCATTCTCGTCTCTAGATTCCATAATTTGTCGTTTACGGTTTCATACCGCCTTTTTATTTCCTCCGTATTTTTCTTGATAAACTTCTGCCGTTCCTTGTCAGTCGTCTCCACTCTTTCGGTCATCTGTGGTAGCTTCTCTTCAGTTGCTCCAGAGCGCCATAAAAACACTATGTAACAGTCGTCTACTTAAGTCGCATATGAGGTTAAGGAAGACAGGCTCTATAAACATTGGCTCAAGAGGTAGGGACATTATCTCTTGTGCTTTTATACCACATTCAGTCGGAGCCAATTCGGTTCGCGTAAGACATGAAACTACAAACTGTGTTACCGCTTAAAGGCCACTACCAAAATACCCCCCACTCTAGAAATAAGAACGCCCCCATGCCTACGTCTCTAAATACCTGAAACAAGCGAACGCCGCTAAAAACAGGGTCGGAAGCTCTAAAATATCATTAGTTTTTTTTAGACAGTGGACCCTTGATCCATTTCAGATGGATCAACCTAAAACTCGCCTAATCTCAACATAATCATACAAATTGCACTCGAGAAATTAAATTAAGTTTTCACAGAGTGACGCGACTCTAGAATTAGGCAAATAATAGAAATAAAGCAACTCTAGAAGTTTTTTGTAACAAGTAATTTTAAATCAATAAGTTTAGTCTTCTGAACCATTGGGCAGCTTCACTCGTCTGTCTGCCCAATCAAGATTCTCTCTCGCCCAACGATGATACTTCCGTAAGATTTCACTTTGCTCTCTATTAGGAACAAGACAGCTCCACTCGAGTTGTTGATTGCAGTGAAATTGCGAACAGCAATTTTACTCTAGACTGATTTTTATCGATTTTCCCGCAATACTGATTTCTCTCCTCTGATATAATTAACTTCTGATTTTCAGTTGTCGCAAAAAACTTGAGCATAACATTGGTCGATTCGAATTTTACAAAAATTATTTTTTTCCCCAAAATCAAGGTTAAACTTCCAAATCAAGGTCAAACTTCCAAATATGACCGACTGGCACAACTTTACCTTGTAACACCAACAGTTGAAATTCGGGGTTTAGGGAACAGCAAGAAACTTGCAAAATTCTAGAAAAAGTTTTTGGCTCATAAACTACTTTACACAGGAACGAAGCTGCTTTTCGTAAGCACAATCAAAAAGTATGAGACAAATTGTTCTTTCGACCAGCAAAAAAGAATAAGTAAATGAGCATTTAACATTTTAAAAAGCCACCTCTGGATTTAGAGTCTGATGCCTCGAAAAATGAGCTACATGTCTTTGATTTCTTCCAAGAACACGTGGATAAAACACATGAGCAGTACACAGGTACTGAAAATAATCATTTTCTTTTAGTTTGAATTCAAGTTCTTTCATTCAAGAAAAATCAGTTTTGAGCGTTATCAAATTATAATGATTTTTCCCAAAAAATGAAAAACAGATAATTAAGTGTCTTCACTCCGTAGAAAAATCGTATCTTGGGATGAGTAAGTTTGCAACATGTATCAGTCCGATTGCATGAAACGCCCAATACTCTTCACAATTTTCGAATAATTAGATTTAATTTTTTCAATTTTTGTTTTTCATAGTTTTCATTTTAAAATTGGATCCGCAATGCAACCTCAAAATCACCAAAAAACGTATAAGTCATTGCCAACAGTCGAAATGACATTTTTTGCACATCTCTTTAACCACAAAGATTAACGTGACTTTTGTTACAATATCAAGAAACATACTTCATAACAGCAAACAAAGCAAAAATTTCATAAAAAACTAAGCAAACAATTTTTAGCTGCCGATAAAAAAACTGTTCTTCTCTCAAAACTAAGGCTGTCTCTTGAAATAATAGACTCAAACCAAAATCTGTTCATCGCTTTTAGTAAAAACTGTGAAAATCTTTCCAAACTTATGAATCTTCAAGTTTTTTTTAAAAATTAAATATATAATTTTTACCTCTCCGTTGATGATTTTATGGACTAGTGAGCTAAATGCGTGGGCTGTGAAGGCATGTTTGAGTGACGTCATCTCATACAGGATACAGCCAAGAGACCAAATGTCGGACTGGAAACACGTTTCAAGTAGAGCTTAGTTTTATAAAATATATGAAACTTATACCATGCAAATACGAGGTATAAACTTAACATCCCAATCAAATTGTCCGCAACTGTTTCGTTTCGATTTGGTGAGTTTCTTCACACAAAAAAAGTTTTTGTAAAGAATCAAAATGAGCGCTAACAAAAAACGTATGGATTTCGAATTTCGATGTGCTACTTTTAATTTTTTTGCGCTAAATTAAATCAGAAAAAATACCTGCCTATCTCACTTTTATTTTACCATGGCAGTACTTAACCTTATAGCTGTAGGGAATGTTCTGGAATATCTCTGGACTCATGTAGTATGGGGTGCCTATGAGGGTGCTGGCCATCTCGTCCTCCTTCAACTCCCTCGCAATCCCTAAGTCCCCCACTTTAACTAGGTTGGATCGGGTGAGGAAGATGTTCTGGGTTTTGAGGTCACGGTGCAGAATGTTTTTGCTGTGGAGGTACTGAAATTAAAACCAGAACATCAAGTTTGTACTTGTTTCACACCGTGCGGTTGTTATACACAAATTCCATGCGGACTAATACGGCTATTTAAAAAGTAATTGGTCCTCTTATTAAGGAAAGTAAACATTTAGGAGTCCCTATCGACAACCAATAAACATATTAAAATTGGGTTACAAACATTTTGAAATAAGGCACAAGGCGTAAAAACCACCCACACGCCTCGTGAAGTTGCACCATCCAATTTAAACCAAAACCAACTAATTATACTTGGAGAAGAACAATCAGTCAGCTGTGAATATTGAGCACGATATCAGAAAATCTAGTCGTTACACAAGAAAAACAACTCAGTTGGGATATTAAACCCTGCTACGGTGTGTCTAAATTTCAATATTCGGCAAATTTACAACTTAATACCAAAATTCTACCTGTTCGTTTTTGCTTGATTACAGATCATTACTATACATTGACCAGTTTCTGGAACAGTAAAAAAAACCTGCGTTTCTGGTTACTAAGGTCGGCTCGATTTAACATTATCAAAACACTATATACATGAGTGAACTAAAAATTTCCTTTACGCCGTTTTCTTCAATAGCCGATACGCGCGAAAAAAAAATTCTTTAGAAGCATTTATGAAGTTTCCAAATCAAATGTCAAAAAATCTATCAAGGAAAAAACCCATCAGGGGAAAATCCAAATCAAATCTCAAAAAAAAACCATTCAAGTTTACTTGTTTCTAACATTGTTTACTCAATTAAATCAATTAAGTCTTCTCATATTCGCGTTTGCTATATTTCTACCCTGCCTGTAATCTTAGTATAAAAATTGTTAATGTATATCACAATACACGAAATTTTTGTTTATTTTTCAACATCAACCATTTCTCATTTTCAAAATTTAATTTGCCCCAACAGTTTCAATAATTAAACAAAAATATCTTGAAGTTTTTGGTAATAACAAAAATTTCATTTTAAAAAAATTTAATTGGTTTCAACTTTTTACACAGGTGAAACTGAGCTTCGCACCACTAGCGATACATAAAACATTGAGTATGACTGCAACCAAATAAAAGGAAAAACAAAAGTGAAGAAGAGAAGAAAAAACCGTCCGCAAAACTGCGCTTCATGAACCAAAAAACTCAGAGAAAACATATTACAACCCAAAGGTGATTCGTTTTGGTCAGCGAAAAACATATTCGCCACAATTTTTCAGTTTTAACGAGTCTACAAATATTGCTAAAAATCAAATAAAGTTTTGAGTATTGTTCACTTGATAGTGAACAAATTGAATTTAACAGCCATAATTACAAGAAAAAAATGAAATCTCCAGCTAGCAAAAATTCTCAAACAACGAACCACAAAAAAAAACAGTTGCCGAATTCTTTTTATCTAGAAAACAGTTGTTTAGAGTATCTTAAAATAGTATTTAAACTGATTAAGTTTATGTTACGAAGAAAAAAGTTCCCCAAAAAGTATGCAACAACAAAGCAGATGGCTCCGTGCCAATTCAATAAGCGGTGATACAAGCCAACAATGCATCTAATGTCAACGGAAGGAGGACAGAAGTTTGCCAATCTGGTGCTGCAGTCTATTTTCAAACAAATTTCATGATTAGTTTTTGCGTAAAAACTCCCCCCTCACCATTTTCAATTGGAAAATTAAGAAAATTCTAAGATTGTTCTTTGATTACAACAAATTACCCGAGTTTCGGTAGTTAAATTGCAAAATAAGTTGAGGAGAGCATAGTTCTGGATATAATTAACATAGTAATTACAATTTTCAATCTGAAATGTTTCTGACTCAACTTATTTTGCGAGATTTTTGAAATGAATATTTTATACACAAATTGGTTTTCAAACTACTTGCATGCAAAATACTTGCGAGACCTGTCTATCATAGTTGCTTTTTCCAGGGACCACTCTAACATAGTAACACCAAGAAGTTACAGCTGAAGATACTTTTCTGTTAGACAAGCAAATAAGAACAAAATATTCAAGTACTCGATTCGATAAAACTTGCTCATCGCTTGTGTAAATATAGCCAAAAGACAGCTGGATAAGTGTCAAAAATCTAGAGGAAACATTTGAACATTTTTCAATATACTACGTCTTTCACGATCTTGTATGATTGAAACTCTTATCAAAAAAACTAACCCAATCAAAGAAAACAGAATCAATAGTAAATGTTTTATTCGAAAATTAAACTATAAACTATTCACGCTTTTCCCGCCATTTGAACTTCTGTCAAATGATTAGTATAATTTGCCTTCCAAAAAAGTCGAACCACGAAAAATTAAAACTGAGCTTGAACAATGTTTAAGATTTTTTATCGGAAAAACACAACCTAAAAACGGATTAACCACTTCGTTTGAAATGGCCAGTTTTTTAAGTCACTTTTTGGGAACTCCTCAGCTTTATCCCCCCTCGGGTACCTAGAAACGAATATCCCCCTACTAAAAATGAATCAACGGATAAGCATATGAGAATTATAAACTTAATAACGAATATGCCCTTTCCAAAAGGGGGATATTGTTAAAGATATCCAACATCACATGAGATCAGTTTTTGAATTGTAACTTTTTTTGAAATAACCAAACAAAACAAGAAAAATTTACCCGATTTATAAAGCAATTAAAGATGTAGGGCAAATAAAGCGACAGGAAATTAAGACGACAAAAATGTATTGGCATCCAAAATTACTACAAATACTAGCAATACCATACCCCAATAAATTTTTACAGATAATGAACCACCTGAAAACGAGAATTTTAGCCAAGTTATTTTCACATTTAGCTGCCGATAATTTCTTATCGGACCTCATTTTGACCAGAAAACTGGAAATAATGGTTAATGCGTTCTTAATTGTTACAACTTGTTTTATATTTCTCAGACAATCCATTTTGCGTTTTGTATTTCTCAGAATTGTACTTTGTCTAAAAAGTTCCATCAGAAACGGTTGTCGTCGTGACGGCTGTCGCCGTATTTGCCGGTCACTGCTAACATGTCAAAACACAGTTGCACAATAATTTGAGCCTGTAAAAACACTATGGGCGTATCAATTTTTAACTTAATAATATTTTTTGAACTACTTTAATAAAAGCATTCAACATGTGTAGTCGTGAATAAAACTGTATGAATAAAAAGGTATTTCTGAGAAAATGATCTAAAGGTTTTTTGTGCATGGTATTAATTTTATCTTCAGCAGACAAAATAACTGTTCGGTTTAATCTTTTTCGTAAATAAAAATCAATTACCGCAATTTAAAAAAGCTATAATTTTGCTTAAAATTTTTCCTGGTCGGTTTCAATTTATTTGTTATATCTTAGCGCCTGTAGTAAAATAAAATTACAAGCAAGTCGTTTTATAAGAACATCATCGAATATTGACAGAACATCATTGAAGATACCTGAATTAAATTTTAAGTTAAGTTAAGAAAAATATAATTTAGAAATACGAGAAAAAACTCCATATTAAAGAGGTACAAAACCATTACAAGAACCGTAAAATTACGTAACATATCAAACGAATCCTTTTTACTTACGTAACTTATAATACGAATCCCTTTTTAGTTACGTAACATATTATGGAACCTTTTTAATTACGTCACATTTGTTACCTGAACTGCGAGTGCAATCTGAATGAACCACTGCATCACTTCATGTTCGCTTAACTTTCCCCCTCCCTTCTTGCTCTTCAGCACCTTGTAGAGGTCTCCCCCCTCACACAAACTCATCACTATCCCCAGCTGCGTCTGTTTCGAGTCATACCAGAAGTGATCCTGAATTGTAAGTACTCGCTAAGAGTTGGCTACTTATTTACACATCTCATTCAAATCTTTCAACGACAGTCTCAAACTGTTCTAAAGAGATTTTTGTTCGATGTCACGAGGGTGTTTCTCAGAAGCAAATGGCATAATAACAAAAAATGAGATCTCTTGGTCGCAACTCGCACTGCAGTTTGGTTCATGGACAAAAATCGATTGGATTTGATTTTCATTGCCAGTTTCTAAAAAACAGTTTTTAGAAAATCTATTATAATTGATTAAAAATGGATTATAACCTTAATTTTTTTAGAATTAATTATATTGGATTATAATCATCGTTTTAAAATTATTCTGAAAGTTTCGAGCCCAATGCAGTATATTCAAAAACTAACAGTTAAATTTCGTAAATTTGGCTTGATATACGTGACATCAGTCAAAACTAGGTTTACTTTGTCTTAGGAAATAGTTCTCTTGCTTTCAGTTTTTTGGTTCACAATTTTTTCTCATATATTTTTAAAATTCGCAATTATTTGCTGATCTTTACTTCAGTCAATTAACGTCCCCTGTCGCCCTTTTGGCATGGGACAACCCCCCCCCCCCCACCCCCTCAACGCGTGCATCCCCAACGTTTACACCACCGCGCGCTTACACATCCTCGTTTACTTTCCTCTGTTTAGCCCCCCCCCCCCCCCACACACACACACTTATCCCACCTCCATGTGGGTGCGGTAAACGCGGGGACAAATAACATAGGGGTAAACATGGGGGAGAATAAACTGAGGGCAGAGTAAACGTAAACGAAGAAAGGGAGAGCTGACGGAATTGGCGTTACGAAAATTTCGAGTAGGCCATGAGTAATTCAGATGTTGTTGCAAGTTTTGCAAATAATTTTGCAAAAAGATAGAGATTTTATCTATTATAATCACGTATAATAAATATAAAATGGATTAATATCCATTTTATTGGATTTTAATGTTTTTTTGTTGCAGAAATTATTGATAACAATGACAATATAATCGATTGTATGGTTTTATTTCGCAACAATCATGAATTAAAATGACAATATTTTAGACAAAATTTTCCCCTATAATCAAACTTTATCCTTTAAATGCCGGTGAGGTAGTCAAGGATTTTTGCGATTCAGCTCTACTAAAAAGGCTCCCCAACACATCGCTAGCAGGATTTTTAGTTTTTTTACACTGAGGCAAATTGATACCACAAGAGTATAGCTACCGGACAAAAAATGAATCGATTAAAACATTTTCAAAATGTCAAAAAAAACATCTACAAAATTTCATACGTTTGTCTCGAATTATTTTAAATTTAAAAAAAAATATGGACAAACACATTTGTTAACGTTCAAAAATCAATCAAAAATACTTGAACAAGGCAAAGCTGCCCTTCGAAAACACTAGCGAGAACTCGACAAAAAGCAGCTCCAGAGTTCTAAAAAGTGCAATAAAAAAAAGTAAAAATCAGCCTCGACCCTACGACCTACTGCGGTCTAGAAGTTATGAGTCTCACGCATTAACCACTCAGCGACGGATGCTTAGTCTATCACTAACACTAGCCACAAATAAATCCGAGAACATATTTTATGAAATTTCCAATGCTACAGATCGTGATTATAGCAAAAAGGCACAAAAGTGAGTTCTTTGCGAGTTAGTTTAGAAAAAAAAGTTCTTACAAAAACACTAGCTGCTCGCTAGCGTAATCAAGCGGCAACTAAGCCGTTAAAACTGGAGTAGACGCCAGTTGAGCCGAAAACAGAAATGTTGTAATCAAAATTTTGGGCTAAGAAGTTTTGAAATCCTCTTCGGGAAAAACATAAGTTTGAAAAATAATTTTTTTTCAAGCAACGCAAAATTGGGTAACTAAAGTAATATAATGAAAGCTGAAATTTCAGACAAAACTTTGAAGCAAAAAAAAACAAAAAACCAAACCAAAAACGAAACTATACAAAACCAGATTGGAAAAATTACAAATTACATGACTGAATCAAAAATGACAATTAATTATTGTGAAAATTGCTCAAACCAAAAGAAATAGCATCAGTGGCAACTATGCCCAGACAAAGTGAGCAGATAAACGAATGCCCAAAAAAATTTTCAAGACAAGTTTTTCAGCTTGCAAAACGAAACAGTTCCTGGTGGGATTTGAACTCGAGAACTTTGTCGCCCCTGCTCTGCATGTTATCGCTAGATATTACTTGTTAAAGTAAGCAATTGAATTGATTGAAGGATCACATTAGACAATTTGTTTAACGGGAAAAAAGTATGTTCCGATTCGAAAACGCTAGGTAAACGCAACCATTCAAACCTTTTATAGACAAACAGCCATTCATAAAACGAAAAAGCAAAGGCAGTCTTCATACAAATCAGCTTGCTTCTGTTTTGCCACTAGTATCAAAGCATGTATCAAACCCCCACCTTGAATGAGACTATGTTGGGGTGACTGAGTGTCTTGAGAAGTTTAACCTCTTGTTCCGCATACTCTCTTTCCTTCTTGGACGCTTTCTCCAGCCTGATTAATTTCAGAACGAACTAAAAACAAAATATGGATCCAGTTTTCACGGAACCTGCAAATATTCAAAATTTTTTAAAGATAGTGCGTACTTTCGATAAGGGAAAAACGGGTTAAAACAATCTACAAGCTGTTCAGCTCTTTACTCAGAACCACTTGTGCTCGTTTTTAAATGTTTTTCTGGGCTGTGTAATGTTGCGTAACCCTTAAGCAAAAAGCACAGATCAATGGGGTCTCGAACTCTCAGTTGAAAGACGGAGATTTAAGCACTTCACCACCCCTCCCCCTGATTTTATCTGCATTTTAACTATTTGCATTTCATGTGAATTAAATTAGGCAAACAATTTTAAAAAAGAACAAATAAACTCCAAAATACAAAGTAAAGTTAGATCAAATTTTCTTTTCCGACTTTTGGTTTTCAGTGTTTTTCCTTGCATTCATTAATACTTGCAGCCAAAAGCAGGATTTTAGAGGCGAAAAAAAACTATTATTTTTTAAAGAGTAGATTCAAGAGGACTGACTGAACATAGCCAATTCTCAGTGGGAATAGTTTCGATAGGATATTGAAAAAATTAGTGGGAAAAGTTCATTGATACTGGTTTTTGTTCTAACCACTTCACGAAGTAGGAAAGAAAAATAACACTGGATGAGTTTTTTCCGTCTGATTTTGAAAGTCTAGGATCCAAGTGCGGCATGATATTAAAACCCTTTTCAGTGATGTTGGACGAAAAAATCAATACAAATAGATTTAAATCCAAGTCGATGGGTTTTAAATTAATTTAAATGAATTTTATTTCAATTTTTTTTCATAAAATAAACTAACGAAAAAGCATTTGAATCAATTTAAAGTGATTAAAATTGAGTAAAAGATGGTTATATACTAAAACTTAAAGAAAAAAAACGGGTGACTTGAATCAATCTTTTAGCTTTAATATTCAATTAATTCAAAATCGATTTGAAATCAATTAAATCCATATTGTCTTGTCTGTCCATTTTTATAATTAAAAACGATGTTAATCCATTTTGTCAAAGCGGTTAGTAAATTAATTTACCTTGTTTTTGGAGTTGGCTGGGTCGTCTCTCAATTTCACTTTCCATACTTGGCCATAACTCCCCTCTCCTATCTTTTCAATCTTCTCGTATCGATCAGCCATCGCGGTCACCAATCAAATAATCAGTTTTAAAACAAAAATTGGTTATTACAAAGAAAAAAATTTGCAATGAAATTTGTGCTCAAATTCAACTTTACAAATCTAAAATTTCTAGTGAACTACAGCTCCCTTGAAACATAAGTAACCCAGATCATAGAAATGTTCAATTAAAAATCTGTCAAATAATTTTTTGATAAACTATTTTTCAATTAATAGTTTTCTATCAATAAATTTTCAATAAATAAATTTAATGAAGTCGGTTAAAAGGGAAGATTTCTGTTCAGATCAGGTAAAACTGAATGCTTTCAGCTAAGAAAATGTTGCGCTAATTTGTTGCATCCAAGAATTCAAACTATCGGTAATCAAAATGTCGATTTAAGAATATGAGAAGGTGGACATTTTTAACCAATGTACATTATGCCACGTACAATTTTAAAATTTTAAAGCACAGTGTTTGCGATGTTCACATATGAAATATACGACAGGTGCTTTTTACGTGTAAGTCTCTACGTATATCAGTCTGATTTAAGCATTATTCTTTCAAAAGATGCAATGAATTTTAAATAACGATAATTTTCATCAAATAAATGACGCGAATAAAGAAACCATCGAATAACTGTCGTAAAAATATTTGATGTATAAGACAAACTATTTATCATGATGATATTATTAACCACAATCGAGATTATTAAATCGGTAGATTTTTAGCCTTTTAAACGTTTCTCAAGATCTAACATTTATATAGAGAAAAAAATCCTAGTCAATTTTTAGTACACGTGTAAGAAAATCTGTACGCATAAGATTATTTTAAACAGGTAAGCTCACTTTTATATTTTACAGGACAGAGAACATTCTAGCCGCATTATAAAAGCGTAAAAATACAGAATAATTTTTACGGCTGAAGCGAAGTACCACAAAACGAAGATAAAACGACTAATCAAAATAGAAAGCTGTAATACAAACCGGCACGTGCGTTTCGCACAAATCCAGTTATTAAAATAAACGCAAGCTACAGATTTTTACATATCAAATGCACCTGAACCTCAAATTTATCAGCTTAATTTTTAAAACTGAAGAAAAAATAGCTGTTTCATTAATTGTTTGAGCCTAAACTGACCGACTAAAATTTCGTTAAGCCAGTTTTTCTATTTCAGAAAAAAACTTACATATTGTAAAATTTTGATTTTTTAAAAATCAATCTGGTTATAACTAACATTAAACCATGGAAGTAGATGTTAAGTTCAGCCATCAATCGGATTACAGCCAGCCTTCATTATCGACTCAAATTGCAACCCAAAAGCTGCCACAAGTCCTGTTTTCTGGCAATGATGGAGACGACGACTATAATGGTATGAATGTGTACTACGGCGCCAGACATACTTTGAATGATGATGATGACGCGTCATCTGATGTCAGCAGCATTCCAGGTATTAATTTTTTTAATTGCTCGTCATTTTAAAATCAATTAATAATTTGAAAAGGCAACTCTAGCGCTTCCATAAGAAAACAAGGATAGCCGGTTGCTAAGCTAGCAGCACAAGATGCTACGAACATATTCATTAAAAAAATAGAAAATTTGTGGTAGACTTTTATTTGTGGTAGCTGAGTTTGTGAGGAAAAAAAACAAAAAACTTAAAAACACCTGAGAACACAAAGATGGTTATGTGAAAAAAGCCAGCAACCTCAACCAAGGGTTTGCAAAAACCCCGGGTGTAATCGAATTTCCGGGCTTTGTCGTATCTAGCAATGGTCTTACATCTGCACTAGATACACAGAACACACCTTGAATTTATGAAGAAAACAAATTCTAAACTTTTTAAATAGAAGCAAAAAACTTCAAAAAATGGAAACTTCTTGGAACTTAATTTCATGCCTACCAAAAAAGCCCAATACAAGTAAGAAATGTCTAAACTTCAGGCAAATTTGCTCTGTCAACTCAGCCGAAAAAAAAACAAGCAGACAAACAGAAGTCCGACTAAGATTTTTCAACTCGCGAACTACTTTCCATTTGCAAAAAAAAATGATCCTGGCCGGATTCGAACCATTCACTTTTGTCTTTATAGGCAGTTGAGTTACATTTACGCCATATGCTCAAATTAAGCTTTGATTTCAATTGAATCAAAGGTGAATTGATTCAAGTGATTCTGTTGAACTAGTTGATAACACGAAAAAAGTCTAAAATCTGATTACACAACGCTTGCTAATCGCAAGCGAAATTATCTTTACAGAAAATAATTTGATAAACACAACACGCCACTCAAACAATAGCGAAACAATAGCAAACAATAGCGCAAGAGTCTAAATCGAGAGATGCCTCTGAGCAGCTTACGATGAGCACTGCAAATCTGTTTGGGCCAGGAACCGTTTTTCAGCTCAAAAAACGTTGTCATGTTTTTGAGCAAATATGTCGTTTTTGGATTTCGCCTTGCATTGAAACAGACAAATCCTACGTCATTACAAAGCATTTTCAAAAAACCAGCTTTAATTTGATTTCAGGAGCCTCCCATCCGGTTCTGAAGAGTACAGCGACTGGAGTGTTGCGGTCGAAAGACTATGCTGACCAGCTGCAGCTGATTCTCGAGCATCATCAACATGGTAAAATTACCATTTATTAAGATAATTAATTTTATAAATCCAGACTTTTAACTTTGAATTATTCAATTATTCACAAGGGCAAAAACTTGCGACACACTTTTCAAGTTAGTAACATTTTGCCAAAAATAGGAATTTAGTTAAAAAAAACATATTAGAATACCTAATTTGACTTAATTTTAAATTGTAGAATTTTTTATCAAAAGCGAAAAGCATACGCTTACGGTTATTGATAAGCTTCTTGTAGTCAATTTTTCCGACAACTTTGTTGCTTAACATTTGTTTGGAAGCAATTAACTCCAAATCTTGTTCAGACAAAAGTTTTCGTTCCTGCCAAAAAGTTAGAATTAGAAATTGATAGAAAACGTTTGAATTACAATGAAAACTTGAAATGTATGCCATTTGGGAAAAATTTCATTTTTATTTCATTTGGGAACTCTGCCATTTGGGATGTTACCGTTAATACATTATCACTCCTATTTGTTCTGAATTTCGAAGATAACGGAATACTTAAGCTCGGTGTGGTTTATTTTTTTAAGTCAATTTTTGCCGATCAAAATAAAAGTTTTCATAGTAAGTTTTTGATACCCCACAGAAGATATCGACTTCCTGAGTTCAAACTTAAAAAGATATTTTACCTCCGATTATTTTTTGTAAAGTTCTGGGGGTTTAATAATTGCCAAAATGACCATGTTCTGGAATAAACTATGCGCGCTTGGAAGAATTTGTTCATATTGCTGAGAGCGTAACGCGAATTATTAATGCTTGGCGATTTGGTTTCATGACAATTTATCCCTTACCTTTTTTATCCCAGGCGAAGTTATCCCAGTCAAAAATATCCCAGAAGTAAAAATAGCCCAGGACGATGTAGCCCACGCTAATTAAAATATCCCATCTGAGGAATGGAAACAATTAAAATATCGCAATAGAATAATCAAAGGAATTGAAACCAAGATGCCAAAATTGAACAAACCGATCAAAGCAATGCTAACTTTTGAAAAAACGCGTGAAATCAAACTCAGTTCAAAGCGTGAAAATTTCAATGCACATTTTAATTCTACCAATCTTTTGAACTATCAAAGCATAAAGATATGACTTTCTAAGCTCACTTGGCAATATGGTTAAAGAATATGACTCTTGATCAAATATATTTCTTGATTTGTGAAAAATATGCCGACAATTTGATAAAAAGAAATCTAGATGAGTGTTAAATGAGCCAGAGCTTGAACATAATTTACAATATCTGAGTTTTATAAGAGTTAGTTATGATTCGGACTTTTTCAATGAGTTCTCGGTACTTTTTACGGGTTTGATTGGTGGTACTGCTGGTTGCTTTCAGAATATTGAACTTCTGGTTGTAAGAACCAAGCTGAATTTTTTCTAAAAACGTATGAGTTGAATTTTCAATGTCCCCGAGAACAAGGAATTGCTCACTGTCTTCTTTTCCGCTATCATGTAGACAAAAAGGCAAATATTTATCGGGAATGTCGAAGTGACGGTCGGTCGATGAAATCACTTCGAGTGGTCCTTGCATTTTGTTTCTATTGAGGGTTCTTGTCAGGGCTGTACGTGAAGGAAGTGAGCGCTGAATTGCCGGATTATTGTCCACAGTCTTGAGGCTAGCTGCTATCAACTGGTTGTTTACAGGATTGATTTGCAACTTTGCTGTTTCTTTCAACTGACTAACTAGCTGCCTTGCTTCTACGCGACCGGGGTTAAACTCATGGCTGTGCTCGTGATTGAACGAAATAATGGTTTCATCGCAAGTTATTAGAGACATTGGGCGTTTATGTGAACGTCATTTTGCACAACGCCAGTGATTGGTAGATTTGGTGTCTCGCTTTTCAGCGAACTCGTGTCCGTCCAAGATAAGCAACGCTTTGCCTTGTTGAGTTTTACCGTAGATAAATTCTGTCATATTGTTGTTCATTGTAATGGTGCTATGTGTTTAATGATGTGTCTTTGCGTTGTGTTTCATGATCAAAATTTTCTCAATTATGACTCCATTAACAGGTTGAAAAATAATATTTAATCCGTAGAAAAGAGTCTTTTACCATTAGCACCATCTCTATGTGAGGTCTCAAAATAATTGAGGCAGTTGAATCAAATCTCTTTTTAATTGCGATATAGATATATGCACCAATCTTTGGTAATCTATATCGTAAATTAATTTTTAATCCTCTAGGGGATATTTTAGTTGACGTGGGCTATTTTGGTATGGGCTATTGTGTCCATTGGGATATATTGGTATGGGATATTTTGTAACGGGAGACTTTCGTATGGGATACTTTGTCCTGTCACCGGCGATTTATCCCGCACAACAAAATCGTTCCAAATTGAATTGAGGCTAGCTAATCGGTAGTATTAATTTCGTACAACTCAACATTTCATACTTGGATATTGTCCAAAATTTTTAAGTTTTCAATATTTTCTTTTCCCAAAAACTATTCGATATGAATTGCGGGACAGTCGGAATATTCAGGGCTTTTCCTGATATACGAGCAGTCTTGTTTTCTTTCAGGTGCGTCCAATACTGCGGATGATGCTGAAACGCATGCTCACTCAGTGTTGACTGAGATTGCCTCAATTATGAAGAAACTGGATCAGGACAAACATATGATCAAAGAGGATTTAGAACGGGAAAGATCACAAGTACAAAGGTAACAAAACAAAAAACAATAGAATTATTTAGCTAATGACAAATTGTTTAGTCAACGAATCTCAACGTAGTTAATTATTTCAAAACTGCTCTTTTTGGCATCAAAAATTAATTTCTCACACATTGCAGCAAGCAAAAATTGTGTCAAAAAATAATATTAGAAATTGAGATTTTTTAATGATTGTAGAGTAACATTAAGGATTGTTTTCCAGGAAAAATTCAAATAAGAGAACACCGCTTTTCAAATCAATTGAACAATGGAATACAAAAAAAAATCTGTCGGAACAATCTGTGCTACTTGCACAACCATCAAGTATCTTGTAATCAAGACTTGTACTTTTTCTTGTACAC